TTGGTTGCAAAACACAAAAAAAGATCATATTGAAGGAACAACTGGCTAGGGAATTTGAAATGAAGGACTTGGGATCAGCAAACAAGATTCTAGGGATGCAAATTCACCGAGACAGAAGTAATATGAAGATTTGGCTTTCCCAAAAGAATTACTTAAAGAAGATCTTGTCACAATTCAACATGAAAGATTGTAAGCCAATTTCTACCCCTCTTCCTATTAACTTCAAATTATCCTCCAGTATGAGTCCTAGCAGTGAAGAAGAGAGGATGGAGATGTCTCGAGTACCGTATGCATCGGCAGTGGGAAGTTTAATGTTCGCTATGATATGCACAAGACCAGACATTGCACAAACAGTGGGAGTGGTTAGTCGGTACATGGCGAATACAGGCAAAAAGTATTGGAATACAGTAAAGAGGATCCTGAGATACATCAAAGGGATCTCAAATGTTGCATTATGTTACGGATGATCAAACTTACTTATCAATGGGTATGCCGATTCTGACTATGCAGGGGATTTGGATAAAAGCAAATCTACTACATGATATGTGTTCAAAGTTGTTGGTGGAGCTGTAAGCTGGGTTTCAAAATTGCAGTCAGTTGTGGCTACGTCTACAACAAAAGCAGAATATGTAGCAGCTACACAAGCCAGTAAAGAAGCAATTTGGTTGAAGATGCTATTGGAGGAGCTTGGGCATAATCAAGAGTATGTCTCTCTATTTTGTGACAGTCAAAGCGCCTTGCATTTAGTAAGGAATCCAACATTTCATTCAAGGACAAAGTACATGCGAGTTCAATACCCTTTCATTCGTGAAAAGGTGGAAGAAGGGACGATAAATATGCAGAAGATTCATACCAAAGACAACATAGCAAATTTCATGACGAAGACAATCAATGCTGATAAATTTACATGGTGTCAATCCTCTTGTGGCCTGTTAGAGACGTAAGCAACATGAGAGTACAAAGTAGAAAGAATGGTGTGAAGATATGATTGTTCCAATCAAATCTTCAAGTGGGAGATTGTTCAAAGTCAAAATATGATGGCTATCAAAAACATGTGGGCGGCTAATTAGGCAAATTGGCAACACACAATTGTTGAATTCAGACAATGGTTAAATCATAATTTAGTCATTTTACTTTAGGGTATTTACAAGATTAGTCCTTCAGCTTCAACTATAAATACTCTAACCCATTTAGCTTCAAATCCATCCCAAAGCATTCTAGCTTTCTCCCAATACTAGAGAATTTAGAGAGTTTCTTGAGAGTTGTTTTCTCCTTTTTATCAAGAGAGAATTATCATTGTTTTATCCTTGATAGATAGAGAGAAGTTGTAATCTCTATTTTCTCATAGTGAAATTATTCTACCGTTGCCCGTAGTTTTTACCTTATATTATATAGGAGTTTTCCACGTAAAATTCGTGTCTCTTTTATCTTAATTTTTATTTTCTCAAATTATCAGTTGCGATTTTGCTTTATCCGATAGTCGTCTTCCGCAACATGCATCTCATGATAAGGTTCACAAAACGAAGATCAAAAGCCAACATACATATAACCTCATGGAGAAAACCTCGTTCAACTCTATCATAAACTTTTCCATGTCGAGTTTGATAACCGCCCCTTTATTAGGGCCATTCTGAGATCCCTTTAGATAATGGAATAATTCATGAGCAACCATAAATTATCAGAAATTAAACGACCCTAGACAAAAACACATTGGTTCTCAGAGATACAGGTAGGCCATTCTGTTAGTTTGTTGTAACCTTGGGCCTTGAGCCCTTCATCGAAATGTATTGCAAAGTCGAGTTAATCACAAAAATATTGAATCATCTTTTTGAACCGTAATCTTTGCATTCATTTGTTTCTCTCTTTTATTCTTGTTCTGCTTTCTGTCATCGTTGTCGTTTATAGTCCACAGATAATCGAAGCTTCTTTGACAGTAGCTATAACAAAATTTTATGCTATAACGTGTTTTGTTAGACAACTTACAAGGTTTATTGTAGCTACAATAAATGTTAAATAGGTTACTGAAATATTGAGAGAAAAAAGTAATATTTGTTGTAGTTACAGAAAAAGTTGTCCAAGTTTATAAAAAAAATGAAATCTTCGCACGAACCAAGTTATTATTAGAGGTTTCGGGTTTGAGCACCAACAGTTACAGAGTATTTGAGTGTTTATTATCAAATGCGAAGCATTACAAATTAGAGTGCTAGAATAACCTCATTTTAGTCACTAAATTTTAAGGGTGTATCGATTTTTTTGCTAATTTTTTTTAAAAAAATATTTTTGTAATACAATTTTTTGATTGTAGCTAACAACCAATAATTGCAAGTCACTGGTTGTCTTTCATGATAAGATCAGTATCAGAACATTCGTATTTCACTCACCTTTCTTTTCTTATGAATAATTTTTAATGAAACTCACTTAAAATCAATGAAATTAAACAAAAAATAATAATCATTTTTAGAGGTATGGGGTTTTTCTTAAATTTGAGAGATTTGGGATGTTTGCTTGAAAGCTTGAACAGTGAGAAGCATTGTTTCGAGAAGACGAATAACATACCATGAAACTAGCCTCATCAGAGGAGAGTAGAGTAATAGCATGTCGAACCTTTAAATATATTTTAATCGATTTTAAGTGAATTTCGTGGAAAACCAATCTTAGAAAAAGAAAGAGGAGTGAAATGTGAACGTTTTGATACATATCTTGCTGCAAAAGATGATCGATGACGGACAATGATTGGCTTCCAATAACGGCAAAATAAATTAGGGTAAAAAACTAAACATTTTTAAAGTTTACTGACAAAATTGATACACTCCTAAAGTTCATTGCCTAAAATGACATAATTTTGAGCATCATTAGCTTCACTAAAATGACGTCGTTTTGGCTAATCATCACAGTGAGAAAAAGATCTACCTATATCATTGTACCGTTAAAATTTAACAACTCAATGGCATAATTTAACAACAAAAATTTAATACTATAATTGGAGAAAAGGAAAGTTAAGTGATATAAATAATGCACAGTCTAAAGTTAAGTAATAACTAATATAATTTATTTTTATTTTATCATTGTTATACTTAAAGGGCTTAAACTAAAAAAAGTACCTAAACTATGTTATTTTTTGCTTTAGGTATCTAAATTATTTTTTTATCAAAACAAATACCTAAACTATATCCCCTTTTTCGCTTTAAGCCCGTAAAATATTTTTTTGTCAAAACAAGTACCTAATTTTGTATCACGAGTCAACATCCTATTGGTCGAAAAATAATTTTCTAACTGAAAAAATATCAAGACTTAAAATAGTTAAATATAATAATTTAAGTACCTAATTTGATCCAAAAAAATAATTTAAATACCTAAAATAAAAAGGAAACATAATTTAGGTACTTATTTTTACTTTAAGCCTACTTAAAGATATACCGTACAAAACTAATCATTCAATGATGATATGATTATAATTTAATTTTTTTATTCAATTCGAAAAAATTTATGATTTAATTTATTTAGTAAAAGGTAAAAGGTAAATTGAAAGATGTAATGGCAAAAACCCACTTCACAATACATATTATTTTTTAAGATTTCAGTGTGTATATATATATAAAAGTATATGATTTTGGACCATATATTTTGATTTTGTATCATGCCCTAGTAAGTTTGTGATTGTTGAGAATGGTTTGGATTTCCTTTTTTTTTCTTTTAATATTTGCAGTGTACTTTTTAGGAGTTTGTAAAACTGATGAACTATATGTCAAACACTACGTACATTATATCAATTTGAAAACATAAATGCTCATTATATGGTCAGAAACTTTCAAAATATAATTCAAGAAAATTAATAAATTATTTTTTGAACCTAATGAATGATTTATGGTAAACTATACGATGTTCTTTTTAAAATACATGAATTCAACAGTTGTTTATATTGAATAAGCAAAGAAAGAAACATAAAAGAAAACAAAACACAATGACTTTTAGATCTTTATATTGAAGGAAAAGGAGGAGGATGAAACAAGCAATGACGTTCCAAAGAATAAAACAAGGCATTTTCTTTTTCTCAGGTTCAGTCTATATCCAAACTTAGATCACAAAAACCCTGATAATGAGATCTTGATAGTTACAGTTCCATGTTCCATGGCAAAGCTCAGGGGTACAATGATGCCCTCGACTTACACGGGGACCAACCATTTCCGACTTTTAGCAGCATGCAGCTGCCCACGTCTCCCAAATTATGACTAATGAGTAGATCCCAGCTTAATTCCAGGGCTACCTTGAAACCATGTCCTCAACATTTCTTGTTCAAACTCTTTTCCTTAACTCAATCCTAATAAAACTAGTGGTAAAAAGGAGTGTTGTTCTCCTTAGACATCTCGAATTTAAATAGTTGTATTTGTAGGATATACTTACGTCGTTGATAACTAAGAAAAATTCTAAATATATTATATCTTTTAATCACATCAAACTATTAAAAGGAACACTCAATCCCACAAAGTTCTTTTAAGACATGGGAGTGTTTATGTTGTGTTTCACTAGCAATCCTTTTTATGGTAAATCCTATTAGTAATTTATCTAACTATTTTAGGCGCCATCATTGTTTCATGAAACTAGTTTGTAGGGAAGCAGACCCTCTCTCTGTAGGGCTCTCTCTTCACTTCCAATAAACCCCAATCCTTCAAATCCTCACCTTTAAAGTCACGAGACCCACTGTCCCCCTCATTGTTCTTTCAATTTATGAGGGAACTGATAGAGAACTTTCAAAAAACTCTCCTTTTTTTTCTACACACCTTCACTCAAACTAGCCCCCCTTTATATTGCGTAGCAGTCTCAAACTGAAGTCTTGTTATCCTCGGAAGCTTTAGTTATCTTCAATCCCATAGATTGTTCACCTCATATTTTCCTGTCTTCCTCTGTCGGTACAATGTAGGTCTCCCCATAACCCACACTTTTCTTTATCTTCTCCTCTTATCTTTCTATATGTCAATCAATCTATTTATTTCATGTTGCAGGAGACCCGAGAGAAACCCATTAGATCTCAACAACTTGCCCGACGATTACACAAGGGATGGTAAACTGGTCTTTAAAGAAGGCTCCTCCTCTGGTATATTCATATTTCTATTTGTAGGATAGACTAGCTGTGTTTGATAAGCTTAAACAGGCCATCATAAGTTTATTTTGGTGCTTTAAGTAGATCTTTTTTTTTTCCGTTACACGGTTTAGGTAAGTTAGATACTTAGATTAGGGTTGGGGGACCTTGGGGTTTAGGGCCAAGAATGGACTCGTCGAAGTTGCTTTAATTGGTGGGTGTGTGAAAACAGGCTCTCGGAAAAAGAAAAGCGGCGGTAAGGATGGGAAAGAAGAGTGTGGGAAGGTCTATGAATGTAGGTTTTGTTCCCTAAAGTTCTGCAAATCTCAAGCTCTTGGGGGGCACATGAATCGCCATCGCCAAGGCAAGTCATTTCACTTGTTTATTTCCACTTTTATGTTTCCTTTTGTTGGTTTGCTGAATTTCTTGGCTGGTTTTCCGTGTTTGATGACTGTTTTTGATTTGATTTGCGTTTGTTTTTGGGTCAGAAAGAGAGACAGAGACACTGAACCGAGCACGCCAGCTGGTCTTCAATAACGATAACTTGACCACCCAAGGGCATCTAGGGTATGCTCCTTCAACATTCCATCACTGTTTTTTTACTCACTTCTTTGAGAAAAGTCATACGACTGAGCCGAAAAAAAATGTTCCAATCATTGCAGCTTTAGATCAGTTTATCCACCAGGAATGTTCCCCGGTTCTTCATCCACGGTCATCCCACCACCACCGCCACAACCATATTTACACTCCATTAACGATTACTATGTAGGGCATGTCCTCGGTTCATCCCAATATCCTCAGCGAAACTTAAACTACATTGGTCCACAAGACCCTAACTACACTTGCTTCGGTGCTCCTGTCGGATTCGGGCCTAGTCCACGTTGCGGCGGCGGCTCCGACTTCGGCGGAAGAGACTTGTCAACGAGCAGCCGGGAGGAGGGGCTGAATTGGGATCAGAGCTATGCAGGAGGAAGTACACAGCATCGCCTGGAGAATCCTTCAGCGATTAATCGATTTCAGAACGGATTCTAAAGATTGTTCTATCTTTTTCTTCTTAAAAAAAAAAGAACTTTTGATTATGTTTATGAAGTATATTAACTGGTTAGACACGGCACCCAGAGAGAGAGAGAGAGAGAGAGAGAGAGAGAGACTTAACAAACTGACAAATGGGGTCATGCAAGGAAGGAGAGAAGGGAAAAGTTTTTGGTTTATGTACAAGGATTGGGGGCAGCTTTTTGGAGCTTTGGACACTCTCAGCTAGTTTGGCTTGGAGGGCAGTGGCCATTGGAGGGGGTATTGTACCCCAAGCCAAATTGTGAGACATGGGGACAAGTTAGATATGAACAGAAAGTTTCTTTTATTGCGTGGCAAATGAATTTTTGTTTTCTTTTCCATGTTTTCTTCTTGTTATGTTATATGTAATGCTTTTCGACTTTATCTGTGCTTTCCTTGTTGCACTATGATGATCCGAGCTGGTGGAGTGGGATCTTCTTGATATTTGGGATCAATATGGGCAATGACCTACACAGAAACGGATAAAAATAAAACACTCATTTAATTAACTCTTTTATTTTGCTGAGAGTTTCCTGACCACAAACATCTGTATATAAAAAATCTGATATTCAGCACTGAATTTCTTTTTTCTCATGAGATATTAGTTCATTAAATGTTGGGGTAAAGTACACAAATGATCCCTGTCCATAGGGTGTTGTTTTATTAAGTTCCCTAACTATTAAAAATTACAAAATGATCCCTAAATTGTAGGATGTTATTTTGTTGAGCCCTCCAACTATTAAATGTTATAAAATGATCACCTGACTATCCATATATTTTAAACGTGTCCCTTTTCTTTAAAATATTGGTGAACGTCTTAATTAGATGTTAATATGTTGACTAGGATATGATAAAATATGATCCTAGAATCGTTTGAGCCGTATTTTATAGATCGACTCTCAGTATACAATATGTCGTCGAGCCAATGCTCGAAAGTAAAGATGGTGTCAATAAACATCATTTAAATATGGTTTTATCATAACCTAATCAGCATGTAAATGCCAAACTCAGACGATAATCAATTTTTTAACGAAAAAAAAAGAGTTTGGACCATATGAATAATCAAGTAACTATTTTATAACTTTTTATAGTCAAGAGACTAAAAAAAGAATGTCCTATAATTAGGGACTATTTTATAACTTTTAATAGTTAGGGTGAGTCAACAAAACAACACCCTATAGTCGGGAAACTATTCGTGTACTTTACCCTAGATGTTAATACACTCTTGATACATATTCATGAACGCTTCTCCTTTTAGGTCCTTTTCTTTTTATTATTAGGCTACTAGGTTTAAAAAACCAATAAGCGCAACTTGTTAAAAAAAAAACTGAATCTTGAGATTGCTTGAATTTATACTAAATGAATCCAATGAGATATGGGAAAATCTCCATTTTGAGTAAGAGATCTAGGAAATCTTGAACACCACTTTTCACCGCAGTAAAATCTGCAACGTTTTTAGACATGGAAACCGTACTATTGTCCTTCTAGAACTTAAGTTAAAATGTAGTACAGTATTTTGATGACTCTTCTTTTCCCTTGTCTTCCCATTACATGTTAGACTGTTTCAAATTAAAGTAAAAAAGAACAGAAAAGAAAGCCCTAGCAACTGAATCAGAGAGCCTCAACAGCTAATGAGTTACCTGCAGGCATAATTTAATGCAGGCAGTGGCTTGAAGGAAAAAGGACAAACATGTTAAACATAAATATTATTTAAAAAATCAACAGTTCCAGGCGTTTGAGATTTCAAAGATTGGGTGATTGGGTTGGATTAAAAAAGCTATTATGAGGTTCAAAGACGAGCAGTTTAGAGACTAACCCTAAACCCTAACCCTAGCTAGCCTAACATGTGTGCCCTCAAAGCAATAGGTTTAAGCAGAAGAGACTGCACAAAACTGTTCACCACTCGTCTGCATTTCAGAATCCATAGTTAACTCTCACTAGACGACTTATATTACTGTTGGAGCCTATTTTCGATTACATTAGGTTTATTTTATGTGATTGAAGACATATTTAATGTTATTATGATTATTGTGAGTATAACGGCCTTGCGATAACAATTTGAGACATTATCACTACTACTAAATAACGACCGCTATTTAAATTCATGTTCTCAGTTAAACATAGACAAAGACATGGAATTATCCTACGGAGAAAAGGAAAACAAGACAAGGAAACTTGTTATCATTAATTAAGGTGTTTATCGAGCGAATCGATCACGAGTTGGACAGTGCTCGACTGGTGCTCGTTAAAAATTTTGCTGATTGACTCCACTCGTTTCTCTTTAAACTCGTTAAAATTTTGCTCGACTCGTGTTCATTAAAAAATATTATTGCTTGACTCATTGCTCGTTAAGCTCGATGATCGTTAAGCTCACTGAAATTTTTACCTTATTTTCTTAATTATAGGTAAAATTTAATAATACTATACAGAGCTTAATATAAACATAATTTAATAAACTTAACAAAAAATATTATCAAAAGAGTGTATGAAACAATTTCAAAGTCTAAAGTAACAATCCACAAATACATTAAAATAATAAATACGGATTGATTTTTTAATGTAGTAAAATGCTAATTAATAATTTAGTATTTTTTATTGTTTATTAGAAAATTAATAGATTAGTAATTTATCATCTTTTCTAATATCTATTAGTAAATTAGTTTTTTAATGAAATAATTTTTTAAGATAACTGCTAAAAAAATTATATAAAAAATTGACAAGCTTGTCGTAACCGTTTTTCGCCCGGGAGGGGAAAGACCGATACCAAAGGGTTTTTTCTCTTTGAAAATTGTTTTGAAAGGTGAGGGGTCACCACCAATCATTTGAGGTGCGATTGGAATACCATATAAATCGGATGATTTTAATAAAACATTTTGTTTTTATCAAAATCTCGAGTTTTGAGGTCTGTGAAAATCCAGAAATCAAGTTCAGGAGTCAGTTACGCGTGGGGAATGATTAGCACCCCCACAAACGCCTAAAAATTGGTACATAGTTGATTACCCTATATTTAAAATCAAAAATTTGGAGCTCGATCTTTATTTAATTTAAAAATCATTAAGGATGCAAAGTTGAAAAGGATATTCGTTTATCAAGACCGATAGCATTCGCCCCCGAGCGTAAATGCGGGAGATCAGCTATTATGCCTAATAACCAAATATTACCTTATTTTTAGAAAACATGATGTGATTTTGAAAAGGATGTCTACTTATTCAAGGAATTACCAGTAGTCACCCCTGAGCACGATTGCGGGAGATATATTATTAATTCCTTAATAAGTAAACAATGCCTTTGATTTATAAAAAACAATGCAATCAAATAAAATTTTATTTGTCACAATTAAACTAAAAAGTAAATTAAGGTTTTTTTTAACTTAAAGTGTCAAAATATGAAAATTACGGAACCTAGGGCTCAAATCTAAAATGTAGGTTCTAGTATTAAAGCATAATGCTATATATTAAAATGAAGTAAATATTCACATATTAAAAAATTTCTTTCGTTAATTTTAAAATACTCGAATATCCAATTATATTTTGGTCAAGTTATACATACGAGGTTAACATACAAATTAAATAAAATATACCTATACACAAAGAAATATACAAAAGTAGTAACTTTGTATATATACTAAGTTGTCAACCAATTGTTTTTAAAAAAATACATATTAATATATACACATATATTACGTTAACATGGAAAGAAAAGAAATGTCAATTTCATAGTCACACACACACATATATATATATATATATATATATATATATATATATATATATATATATATATATATAATATATTAAATTCCTTAATAAAAGGTAAAGTAAAGCATGATTAACGCATTTCATTAATAAAGGAATATATATATATATATATATATATATATATATATATATATATATATATTAACATGGAAAGAAATAAAACATTAAACAATATTATAGGGTCAACACACCTATATATATATATATATATATATATATATATATATATTAAATTCTTTAATAAAGGCTATGCAAAGCATTCATAACATATTTGTTTACAAAAGGATATATATATATACATGCCATATCTTTATAAAAAAATCATATGTATTATATATATGAATATGCCATGTATTTAACAACCAATTATTAACCCAATATAATATAATATATTAAAGGATTACTACTGACATTTACCTAATACAAAATTACATGTTTTAAGAAAAAATATAGATCATTAAAAACAATCATACCTAATATAATAACAATAAAATAAAAGTACCTAATATAATATATATTCAAACATGGAAATACAACTTACTCTAGTAAACATGCAAATTAAATTAGGGACTAAGATGAATTATAATGAAAACACGATGACATGAAACTAAATAACTCAAAATATTATACCTAAAATATAAATTTTGAAAATAATAAAACCAAGACAAACATAAAAGGCTAAATTAAAAATTAGTGCTTACCAGTAACTAATATGCAAATAAACGACAAAGGTACAAGGGCACGAAAACAAATTACCCTAAAGTTTCAATGAAAGTTAATTTACCCATAAATCTTAATATAAAACCTAAACTAAAACTAAACCTAAGCTAAACTCCTCTGCCGCTCAACCCCTCTCTATTCTCTCCCTATCTTCTTCTTCTTCGATCAAAAACCCTAAGGTGGCGTTTGGTTGGATAGAATCCCTTAGAATTGGTGGGAATTGGAATCCAATTCTACCACTTTCCCATATTTGGTTCAAGTTTTTTAAGGGAATTGGAATCCCTGATGGAATTCAATTCCATCAAATGAGGGACAGTTAATTACATCAAAAAATGGATGGAATTCAATTCCCTTATTGGAGGAAATTCAAATTTGACCATACTACCCTCATCAATCCTTTAGTAACTTATTCAAATATTGAATAAAAATATTTTTTTATTATTTCGGGTCGGGTCGGGTTTCTAATTCATATATTCGGGTCGGGTCGGGTTGGGTGAAACT